AATAATATACGTATTAAAAATAGTATTCACCCTTGACATAAACATTTACAAAGTGCAATACGCAAGATGAATGAGTTTAAAAAGGTAAATGCCCTTTGCCCAATTATCATTCCCTCTTGCCTAGTTGTAAATGGTTGGCTTACAACACTTGTACATTTTATTAGTAACTTGTTACACTTAAAAATATATCAGTTATCAATGTCATTCGCCCCATTGTCATTCTCCCTTACCCTATTGTTATTTCCCTCATCATAGTTGTAAATGGTTAGTCTGCAACAAAATTGTTACAACCTGCTGGTCAATTGTATATTATGTGATAAATAATGTAAAGTCCTCTTGACATTAATTGCAAGACACTTGTCTTGTTAACAATTGTATATTGGTGAGAAACATGTAATAACCATTTTCGTTGAAATAAAATCTAGTATTTATCCTTGATATAAGCATTTAAAGTAAAATATATAAAATGAAAATTTCAAAATATTGTATAACAAGATAAGTACATGAAATGCAAAAAAGTTTTATCCTAAAATAATATGCAAAACTTGGATAACACTTCTGTCTTCTCTTTTTGCTTTGGTTTGATCCTAATAACATAGACATGATAGTAGGTTCATTCTAGTTGTTGCAATGATTGAAAAGCCACCACATGCATTTAACTTTCTTCTTTTGGAGGTCATCCTACATGAACAAATTAAAAAAGAAATTGTGGCCCTAAAAATTGAGTAAACAACAGATTTATTAACCTGCAATGCATGTAACATCCACAATTTTAAATCCAAATTAATTAAGCTTAAAAAGATTAGTAAAGAGAATTTTTGAGGTATATTGCCAGAAAGGCCTAACGGGCATGTTTGATCTCAATTTTAGTACCAAACACGGGTCTGAAGAAGAATTAGGTTACCTGGGGATAGAAGAGGAAGAATTTCTGAAGGGCACGTTCTGTGCCACGCACCTCGGCGTGGGGTTAGTCCGCTGCGGTACATGCGTGCCAACACGCTTGGGAGAAGCTCTTTGTGCTATACGCCGTGGCGTATGGCCAAAATTTTACAGTATTAAGTTGCAAATCTAAAGTGAAAATGAAGAGAAAACAAAAGAGAATGAAGGAGTGGCAAAAAAGCAATGCTAGAGCTTGAAGAAACTGATTGTTGGGAGTAATTTAGAGCTCATAAACACCCAAGGTAAGCTTCCTAGCTTAAATCTTCCTCTCTTCTTCCATTTTCTTGATGGTAGAGGTTAGGGTTTGATTTCTAGAGGTTATAGGTCCAAACCCATTGACTTAAATAGAGTTAATGGGGGTAGATTGAGCTAAGTAAACTTGATATTTATGAATTTATGATGATTAGTAGTTGGAAGACATTAAATGTCCGAAATTCCCATAAATTTGGTGGTTAGGAATAAGGTGGTTTTATTCATGCCCATTTAAGAGCTCAATATTATTAATGAGAGTTAAAGGAAGCTAAGAAGCCTTATGGGTACTTCTACATGAGCTTAGAGCAAATCTTGAGTATTAAGAAATGATGAAATGTTAATGGAAAATAGCTCAAAATGGATATTGATGTTTTGCATGGTAAATGCTTGTAGTGTAACTACTATTGGCACCATTTAAGCTTCTTGGAAGCTTCGAGAGTGAATAGTTGAGGGATGAAACCTTTGACCTCTCAAACGTTTGAGGTAACCAGAAAAATTCTATCTTATACTTGTATGTGTCAATTAGTTTGTTGATTTATGAATTATTATTGAAATGTATAAACTAGAGAAAATGCAAGTGTGGCTTAATTTGTGAAGAAATCTACTAGATCAAATTTGGGAGTTTTATACCTTATGATGCAAATTTTCCTTGAAAACAAGAGTGGTGGATTTTCGTATTAATGTTTATTGGGAGTGCAATGATTTTTACAAATTGAGAAGTAAAATAAATCTTCATTATGAGGAGTTCAATGATGGTTGAAAATAGGGAAATTTAATGATTTTAAAAGTGTGAGTTATAATTATTGTAATTTAGGAGTTCAACGACTTATTTGGTTCTGAAGTTTCATGAAATGTATTTGAAAAGTCCAATGATTGTGTAGTGATGAAGTTCAATGAAAAATGATAATGTGAAGTTTTATGAATTGTATATGTGTGAGTTATGGCATAAGTGTCCATTGCATGATCTTGAGAGGCGGGAGTTTACTTGGGAAGTAGAGTAGATGAGAAATCCGTATGGTAAGGCCCCATCCGTGTGATGGATTACCTAGATTGATTCTATCCATATCGTCTCACTTGTTTAATAAGGGACTTGAACCTAGCTAGCTATCCACCAATTCAATAAGAAAGCTAGTCTAGGGTATATGACACCCCATGGTGTGAGAAATGGGGGAAACCGTGATCCATAAATGAGCTGGGTGCACCTTGGCTGATAATCCCCTCACAAGTGTTTAGGCTAGGGAAGTTAAGGAATATAGACTATCCCATTGAGTTATAGCCCACGGTTTCGTGTTAGAGGAATAAGGAGGATATAAGGGAGGTGTGATCATGCATATAGTGAGAAAAGGCACTTGTTGTCTATATTGAGTCCATAATGTGGATATATTTAGCTGGGTAATAATTTTTGCCATTAAGCTTGTCAGTGATTTGTGTAAGCAATTCTATTTATATGAAAAAATGATAAAGGTATTGTCTTTCCAAGTGAATGCCATTATGTTAGCTAAATTATGAATTCTTATTTCAAATGTTGCTCATGGGTTAAAGTAATAACACTTACTGCCACTTACATTTGAACTAATTGTTATGCATTAGTATGGGCTAGTCAGACCTTGGTTACTGAGTAGTTGTACTCACCCCATTATCTTTAATATTTCAAGAAATAGCTGAAGAAGTGGAGACAGAGGAAAACAACTCGAGGCTTAGGACCACGTGTCTTCTGTAATAAGCCTTCTTACTTTTGGGTAATTTATGTGCATGACAATTTCGATTGCCAACTAGGATTTTCCTTTTTGTTACTTACTTGCATTAAGAGAAAAGTAAATTGTAATGGTATTTTGGGCCTTAGGGAGAGAGTTGATTATTATGTGTTATGTTGATAGGGTCAAAATACTAATGCAAGTGGGGGTAGTGCATATTATGTAATGATTTGGGAAATCTTAATAAAAATTGTAACAAAACTCCCCCTTCCTATGATTTTGAGTTAAGGGGTTGAGTAGTAGAAATTTTATTTGAAAATATTTCTTGTATTTGGTGCTTTGCACGAGTTAATTCTATTGAGTTGTATGTGGTCGTTTAGTGTCAGTGGCCATTGGTCCTTAATTTTGGGATAGGACACTTGAATTTGCAAAAGTTGAGGTAAAGAAGTAAGTTTTGAAAAGGGTGTCCAATTCTTATTGTAAAAATAATTTGAACCTGAGACTAATGCCATTAGTTAGAGCCCGAAAAGAGCTTTCCGTAGACTCCTAGTTCACATCATTCGAATGTCAGATGGAGATTTGGGGTGCGTTAGAAGTTGGCCCTAAAGCTATCAAATTGATAGTAGAATTTACTGTCAAAGTTCCTGCATTTGCACAGCAGCGCATGGTGTCACAAGCCACGATGCGTGTCACAGAAGCGAACATGCCACGGTGCATGTTCAACAAGTCGTGGCGCATACCTTTTAAATTTTCAATATTTTTCTTGTTCCAAATTTTTGCACCTAAGTAACCACTTATGTGATAATCCTTTGCTTTTGCGTATTTGTGAACTCTGTTTTGCCTTTTTACAAGACTTGATTTGACTTAGATTTATAATCTTGGGGCCCCCATTTTGTTAACTAATGAGAATTTTGTATTCAATGATTATTATCGTCTCATTTTCCTAATTTCTTGAGATTTAGGTTTTAATTGTGAGATAAAATGAGGATATTACACTGCACAATATATTAACAACTACTTGTAACATATTGACAACTTAAATTTAGGCTATTAAAAACATATCTTGGCATTTCATAATAGATTTATCAGCTTAAACCTGCACCACACATAACATATTGACAACTACTTATAATATATTGACAACTTATTTTTAAGCTGTTAATAACACATCTTGCCACTTTATAACAAATTTATCAGATCAATTTGAACCATACAAAACATACTGACAACTACCCAAAGCATATTGACAACTCAAGCTTAACCTATTAACAACACATCTTGCTATTTCATGATAGATTTATCAGCTCGACCAAGTACCACTAGAATATCAAATACACCACTACAAATGCAAAGCCAGTGACTACTCATGGCAGATATACCCATCAAGAGAGAAAGAGAGACTATCCACAACTAATACACCCATAATGAGAGAAAGAGACAACTATATTCTACCAACTAGCAATAAAAGACCAAATCAAATGTTTAGCAAGAAGCACATGTAAATCAATCTCATCATTTACCTGGTTTGGTACAGTCACCATCGCATTCTTTGAAGGTTAAAGTTAGGTATAAGCTGACTTGAAGATAAGCCTTCATCCTTCATGAACTCCTACCTAGCTCACTATAAAGAAGATTGCGAGGATGGGTTTGGATTCTAACTACAAGATGATCCTACCTAGCTTATTTCAAAGACAATCACGAGACCTTCATCAAATGGTTATAGCTTCGTCCTGCACGAAAATGACTTCCTCTTTCTTTCATTTTCTACTTTCTTTTCAGTCAGGGCAAATAGGTCATTTTAATTGCAAAATAGTTTACACCTTAGAACCAAGGAACTTCAAAATATTTGTAGGTCATTTTAGTTGCAAAATAGTTTACACCTTAGGACCAAGGAACTTCAAAATATTTGTCCTCTTTGGTGGGACTTAGCTATATTTAATTTTTTTATGTAGGATGTAATTTTTCCTAAAATTTGATTTTTTTCATCACATTCATTAGAAGCTGGTGACATATTAAATTAAATATATAAAAAAAACAGTTGAAATTTGCTTTCCTTAAATTTGGTCTAACTTGGAATTTTCTTTTTTAAATAAAAATAAACCTAGCACGAGCGTGCGGAGCGGCGGTGCAGGGGATAGCTCATTGCTAGTTGAAGGCTTAAAGCCATTTCCCCTTACACCGACCCTATGCTTCTTCACTGGTCAAACTCATCGTCGCTCCTTCGACGCCGTCTTCTGACTCTTCACTCCTCCGGTCGTCGTCGTAGTCGTCAATTATCTAGCAATTTTAATGGCTATTTCAGCGTTGGTGGAATCTAAGTTATGATACTTTCAGTTAGTCAAATTTCCATAGCCTGTTCTGTGTCGTTGGGAAAGTTCGATTTTATATCCTTTTCATAACCATGCTTTCTCGCCTTATACCCAAACCCTCACATTTCCGACGCTTTGTGTTGATCACTTCAAAATCTATCACACATCCCCAACCTCATTTCACCTATTCTACGAACACCCCAAATTTTCGCGCTTTCTCCAAATACTTCTCCACCAATGGGAACAATGACAACAATGGCAAGGACCCTACCGGTGTCTGGAAAGATTTCCGGGGGATTGAGGATAAGTTTGACGCTATGTTCGCTGGAGATAACGGAAGATTTGGTGGATTTAATGAGGGAGATGATGGCGCCAAGGCCCCAGCCAGCAAGGACCAGTGGTGGTTAGAAGAGGAGGGACTTGATAATGAAGATGAGGATGCTATATTTAAACGGCCTGACAAGAAAACTGATGAGAAGGGTGGTGATTTTGGTAACCAGCCATGGCATGCAACAGAGCACCTGAAACCATGGATCCTGCGTGAGGAAGGGAAAGATGATGTGTTTAATTACCAAGATTTTGGAAGCAATGTGGGTGAATTCAGGCCTGATAGTAGTCTTGTGGAGAGTCAGAGAATTGAGGATCCTGAGAAGCTTGAGAAGGAAGAGAAACAGTTGACTGCCGTTTTAAAAGGTAAATTTGAAACCTTTTTCTGCGCATGATAGCAAGATTCGTATTGGCAGTACTGCTCAACTAGGAATGCAGTATGTCATTTTTATCAGCTATTTTAGAGGGTGATGATTCGTGTTTTGGTGATCGTAAGTATACATTGTCATTTTCAAATGTTAACGCTTCATTTTTTAAGCAAAAAAATGGCTAAGCTATGAGACTATGAGTAACATTTATTTTGTATATTCATTCCTTATTTGGTGAACTCTAAGATTGTTGCGATCTCTTGTGGAAACTTATTTTGTAATTTTAGGCGTGAGCACTGCTGAACTGACGAGTTATTTTTCATATTATAAACCAGTCTTGAACCAATCCTTCTGAATGGTTTACAGAATTGAAGTGGCATGTCCTTTAGATAACTCCTGGTGTTTCCCCTTGAGCTGTTTGAGCCAGTGCTGTTTGGGAGGTCTCTACCTTTTTTTTTTTTTTTGTATAACTGGAAAGACTGCTTTGTTTTATTCATGTGTTTCAATCATATTTCTTTTTTGTTTTTGGCTTCCACGCTTCTTGCTGTGTTGTTGTAGAAGAACCTAATGACAGCTGTAAACATTACAGAACGGCGATGTCAAAATTTTAAGGACTGGATATGTGTTTACAATTGCCATTGCTTAACATAGGTTTGCTGATAGTTAGTGGTTGAACTGAACGCTGGCATCTTTGTCGTTAATAATTACATCCAAATCCGTTGATGATGAATGGAATGAAGACTGAGTTCAGCAGTAAAATGATAATGCACAAAATTGCTTATGCTAAACTGGTGAATTAAACTGAGATGAGGATGTTGTGGTAGACAACACGTACATTGAGATTAGTTCAAGGAATATTGATGAGGTGGAACTTCATTGAGAATATGACATATATGCAGTGCAATGTGAGTGGGGATGTGATGGGTTTGGGAGAAATATTGGGCCTAAGACATTAGCCCAACATTTTAGTAGGAGGAAAAAAGGGGGGGGAACAGTGTAACAAATTCTGACATATAGTGGTTGTGTGGGAGTGTGCAGGAGGTAAGGAAAAAGTGTGTGGAGAGTGCTAGCCTCTCGAATACTGCATAGGGAGAGACCTGTGTGGTTTCTTTGTGTTTTCCATTTTTCTTTGTTCTGTTTGCAGTGAGTGTGATCTTAGGCTGTGACTACTGGTTTGCGTCTTTAACTGTCCCACTGAGGTTGAAGGCTTAATCAGTGATTTGCTTGTATTTCTTATTATCACAGCTTTTCTTAATGTATTCAGCAAGGTTTCCATCTGGATGTCTTTTATAACTAAGAATTGCATATTTGCATTGGTGAAAATGATCGAACTTTAGATATGATGTGGGTCATGGATCACATATTGGATACATTTTCAAAAGGGGCTGTACCTGGGGAAAAAATTATATTCATTTGCTGGATAATCTAAAAATTTAATGTTAGGATTGTTCTGTCTCATTTCTTTTTAATGATAATATCACAACAATGGAATAAGAAGAAAATCAAAAGCTCTAGATTATTGTCCATTGTCTTATATTTTATGTATCTAGGTTTGGCAGGAAGCATTTGGATCAAAACATTTTCTGCTCATTCACCCTTTTCCGTTTTTTAATCTTTTTTTAATACAATTTGCTTACTGAAGCTACATTTTTGGTTATGTATATGGTACAAATATGTTACTTTCATTATGCACGCACATTGTAGTAAAAGGCGCGTTCTGTTTATTTAGTTATAGGTCATGGAAAGTCTAATGTTGAAAGAAAATCTGAAGTTTATATATTATTATTCTAACGCTTTTACAGGACCCGATCGTGCTTTTGGTGATCTTATTGCTGTTTCTGGAATTACGGATGAAATGATTGACAGTTTGATGGCATTGAAGGACTTTGAAGAGGTTGATGGCTTGCCACCCCTTAGAGTAATAGAAGACATGCGCTATGAAAAGAGTATTAAAAAATCTACTAGAGCTGAAATTGAACGTCAGAAACAGGAGGAAGCTGCAAAAGCAAGAGTGAGAAAAGTAGATGAGAAAGGACGTGCCTATGGAACTGGAAGAAGGAAGTGCAGCATAGCTCGTGTTTGGGTTCAACCCGGTGATGGTAAATTTGTAGTTAATGATAAAGAATTTGATGTCTACTTTCCAATGCTTGAACATCGGGCTACTCTATTACGACCTTTCTCTGAGACAAAGACATTGGGGCTTTGGGATGTCAATTGTACAGTGAAAGGAGGTGGTGTTTCAGGTAAGGTTAATGACTTATAATTACATCTTCTGTCTTTGCATTTAAATTGCCAATGATTCTTTTACGATATCTTGCATCTCCTATTTATTTATTCGTTATTCAATATTTGGACAAGAAAAGGAATTTATTTAGAAAACTACTGAGCGGGACAATCTCATATGAGAGAAAACAGACCAAAAAAAAAAAAAAAATAGGGCAAAGAAGAAAAATAACGAAATAAAAAGTGAGCTTAAGCAAATAACAGTTGAGCACAGGTCCCTCCAAAACAAATGAATAAAACACCAAAAGAAAATGAGAGATGAACCATTTCCCCATTAATCATTGATAGTAGTTGAGACACCTTTAAAAATTCTAGCATTTCTTTCAAATTAAACACAATAAATCACAGCAAAAACTAAACTTTATCATCTTTTTTCTGCCCAAATTTGATTGATAAAATAGTTGATCCAAATTTTTCTGCCCGAATTTGATAAATCTTTTCTCCTCAGAAGCATCGATACGTGAAAATGGCCGGCGTGTCCGTGTCGAATACGTATCCGACACGGACACGCGTTCAAGACGCGGAAACGCCGTGTGCCTTTTCCCACTTTTCGGCGAATGCGGGTCGAGACGGGTTGACATGGCAGATGTGGGTCGGACACGGGCGAACGCGAAACTTTGCGTTTTTCACTTTTTTTTACTCAGTCCCAACTCCAGAAACCCGATGCCCTAAGATTCTCAGCTCCATTCGACCCCTTTCTCGCATTTGTCGCTCTGTCACTTGCTGCCTCATCGACCATTATCGTTCTTCAACTCTGCGTTTTCACTTCTCACTTCGCACGCTGCCTCACCGTCTGAACTCTACCTCAGCGCCTTCGACAGTCGTCGTTCTTCCGTCTTCAGCTTTTAATCTTGGTAATTTATCTTTAGTTCTTCAGTCTTCACGTATGGGTGCCTGAGCGACTCTTCTGCTCTTCACTTCTTTTACTCTTCTGCGCCGAGCCTTCAATCTTGGATATTTATTGATATTATTACATTACTGGTTAATGAATATTTATTACTCAATTTTACTGCTGAACCAAGAGAGAGAGAGGCTGAGCAACCTGATCAGGTTTTCTAATTTAATACTAAATTATTGATTTAATTTTTTTTTATTTAGATGAATTATATTGCTGAGTTAAACATTGATTTATTTTAAATTATATTTTTAGACATCCCAATATTTAATATTTAATTATTTATATAGCCGTACCCGTATCCTAAAATTTTAAAAAATAGCCGTGTACATGTATCGTACCCGATACTCATACCCGTATCGGTGCTTCTTAGCTTTTCTCTGCCAGATCTGGTAACAATATCAAACAACTTATGTCAAAGAGAAGTAGGCATGCTGCAATGTAAGAAGAAGTGTCTAATTGTTTCTGAGTTGCCCCTACACATAAATCAGATGTTAGGAGAAGGTGCCCCGTGTGGTGTTTGAATCTGCAGAGTCCCAGTAGTAGTATTCTGTTGAGTACGACTGTCCAAACTTAACATTTCACTTTGAGAAGAGTTTTTGATTTCCAAATAAAAATCTCAAAAAGGAACTGATGGCCTTTTGGGAGAAGAAATTAGGAATTAAAAAAGGATTTAGAAGAGAAAACATTTGATGAATCCATTGTTTAACCGTCCAAACTGTACTATCTAAGTGTGAACAAAGGTATATAGGCTCTAAAATAACCACTAGTTCATGAATTTCTCCATCAGAGGGACTTCTGGGAAAATGCTTTTTTCGAAGGAAAATTCCCCTTGAGAAGACCAAAAACACCTGGTTGAGAGTCGTACAAAAAGTTAAGCTGGAACAAATTTGGAAAACTTGACAAAGCAGAACATTTCCTCCCTTAAAGAGTCTTTGCAAATAATTAGCTATTCTTAACTGCCATTCTATGATCCTGTGAATGGTCTTAACTGAATATCTGGTTTCCTGTGTTAACTAAATCATAAAGCTTATTTCAGTATATTGGTAAGACGTGTGTGTGTGTGACGCTTAGAAATAGTATCTTTGCATTTGCAAATATGTTTTTAATGACAGATACTTGTTCACACAAACACATGTAATTTATATTGGTTTACAAGGTTCTTCCAAAGTTCAAAACTTGAAAGCAGATGAGTACTCTGAGATATGATATGCTTAATTAGCCTTGTAGCATGGGCATAAAACTAATATAATAATTAATTCTCATTTTTTAGTACTAAACTATTATTGCCCTTTTTTTCTTAAACTACAATCACACTTTTTCGCATCAAGGGTTTGTTTGGCTGGTTGTAGTTTTTTATTGTCAAGTTACTTTTGACTGTGATGTGGGGACATATTCTTTTTGCAAGATGTAGCTAGATTCATTCTTTTTAAACTTTTGTGAACAAAAATGTGGGCAAAAACTGCTGTAGAGGGTTGGGAAGTTTTTGAGCTTGTGAAGATGCTGAATGTTCATCAAGACTTGCTTGAGGTTTCAAATAGCGAGTTTTCTGGAAATTTGGATCTGTTGTGAGATTAATTATTTATAGATATTTGATTCCTAGATAAGTTTGAGGTAGAACTAGTGATCTCTACTGAAGAGGGAAAGTATGATTGTAGTATCAATTAGGTGCGATACTGAGAGAAGGCATAATTTGGAGGAAGAAATCAACAAGTGGGCCAAAGGTGTGAATGAAAATTCTAAATTGTTTTATGGAGTGGCTGCAGGTAGTTGGAAATTTGGTTAAGGGATTGCAGCTTGAGAATAGAGGTCATATTATAAATTTACAAGTCATTGCTGAAAATCATTTTTCTTCAGCTCTTATGTACAAGGGGACACTTCTGGTAACATTTCATTGAAGCCTTTATGGTTTCACTGCGGGTGTTTTCCAAAATTTGGTGTATTCTTAAGTCAGATGCAAAAGTATTGTTTAGAGTTTTGTCATAATTGTAAAAAATCATGAGTGAATTATACCTTCAGTGTACTTGTTCATAAGGGATAGATTATATTAGGCACTTTGGGTATGAGAGTTTAGGCATATCTGCTTGGTGCTTGATATTTACAAATTTGGAAAATAGATGGGGGTGACGTAGGAGGATCTGTTGTCCCTGTCTCTGTTGACTAAGTGGTTGAAATGTTTTAACTCATTTAGTGGTAAGGCAGGGATTTATCAAGAATGAACTTTCCCCACTATTAATGGAAGATTCCAAATGATGAAAATTGAAAAGTTTATGATTGATAAATCATTCTTCTTGTTAGTTTTCTTCCAAAAAATTAAAAGAAAAATCTTCTCATTGAATTATATTTATATTTTTGAGGTTTTGAAAAATTACAAATGTTTCTTCAAACGGAGATGATTTATAGAAAACTATTGTTTCTTAAAAACAGATCATTGCCTTTTCCTAGGTAACAATAGTTAATTTAGACAATGATACTCAGTAGGATTAATACTAATTATGTGTTCCATGCTCACAAGCCTGTGGAAGCCCTTGACCTGATAGTTATATATTACACGTCTGTCTTGGTACTCAAAGCAGCTACTCATCTTTTATTACAATGTCCTGCGCCTATTTTTTGGTGGAGTCAATTGTTTGGATGTTCTGGACTGACATTGTGTATTAAAAGGGGGGGGGGGGGAAGCTTTTGTCTCTTCCATGGCGCAGCTAAGCTGGCACTTTTTCAGACATGCTGACATTGGCCTTCGCACAATCTTCTATGATCATAGTTTGACCTTTTTTTTTTCTTTTTTTGGGGGGGGGGGTGTTTCCTACGGCCTTACCACTATTTTCCTAGGCACCATCCCTTGTGGTTGCGAGAGAAGAGAAGATATGGCATTTTTTCCCTTGCTGTACATGTTATATTCTTCCCTTCCTGTACTTTTAAAAATATGATGAGCATCAATAATGATATGTTGCCATGTTTCATCTATCTTGGCCGTTTACCAAGCTATCTGCCTGAAATTTTAAATTTGACGTTAAAATAAAGTGCTTGGGAGTAGCAATAACAAACTAGAGGATGTATGAATTGTAACAGGAGTCAGAATGTCTATTGGGTAATTTTTCAAAGAATTTAATTATCTTGCATTTTATATCCTTTTCTCTAAACATCTGCTGTATGTAATCATTCGTGCGTTAAAAATGTGTGTTGATGACAGGTCAAGTTGGAGCAATACAATTGGGGATCAGTAGGGCTTTGCAAAGCTGGGAACCAGACTTGCGTCCCGCACTGAGAAGCGGTAAAACCACGAAGCCTTCTATCAGTAAACACATCTTGTGCAAAAGATAAAGGATATATTTCTCTCCCTTCCACTTAGAGATAGCTAAAACATTGAAAATGTGTTTCTTAAAACTTCATCTGGTATTATTTTTTTGTATTTTTAAATGATAAAATTAATTTATCATAAAATTTTATCATATCTGTAACAGTGCTTATATTGATTAGATATATATTTAAGTTGCATGTTATTGTTGGAATCAGATATCACTAATGATTTTCTTTTAATTGGTTAGTTGTTATAATTAAAATTTATTTTTTTTGTATATAGTCTTTGTTTTACAATTATTTATGTTTATTAAACGAGTTAAATTTTGCTAAGTTAAGAAATTCTTCTATTCTATAAATTTTTTAGTTTATGAACTTGAGGGTATTTTGAATAAATTGGTTCTATTTGTCCAGTATTGTTTACTTTTTAATAATAATGGGGAGGGCCATGTAAGTAAACCAGCTTTGAGAGAAGGGAAAATGATTTGTCCAAAGGTAAATAGTTTTCCATCTTAGAGGTGACTTGCTGTGGTGTTTTTGTTGTCTTTTTTTTTTTTTTTTTCCTTTGGTGGCTTCACTATTATTTTGATCCTTTGATCAACTCATCTGTTTCAATTTGACCTGTTTATTTTTGTCTAAATCTAGTGCTTTAACTTTGAAGTTTACAGAATTTTTTGAAAGGGTACATGGACTCATTTTCTTTTTAATTTTTTTAATACAACTATTTGAGATCCAATATTGTGTACTAATGTAATTTATTTTTGAGCAGCTGGTTTCCTGACGAGGGATCCTCGAGTGGTAGAAAGGAAAAAGCCAGGAAAGGCCAAAGCAAGAAAAAGTTTCCAATGGGTCAAGCGTTAAACACTTGGAGCTTCTGTTCATGTATTATAAATTTTGTATGGAACATCTTGCCTCTTTGAATAAACTTGCCAAAATTCATTCATCCTCGTCATCTGGGATAGAAAGCGACGTTAGGATTTATTTAGTATTGGAATGAACATCTGATCTCGTTCTGTTTTCATCCTTGTACTATGCTATATTATGAAATTTTGGTTCACAGCAGCGTGAAGTACCTGTTATGTCTGTGTGGTGTTGATTCTTTTTGAGGGGCGACCTGTGATTCAGTCATGCGCGGTCGAAATTGTGTTTTCTTGCCCACACCAAACTAATGAAGATTTCAAATGGTGATACGATTCTTGCTTTTGGGTTTCTCCTGTAAAGTAGTTATCTCAAGAAAACATTAAATTCTTCTTAGTGAATACGTGTACTTTGCTGAGGCTTTGAAGAAATGAGATGTTTCTTTCAAATGTGGTTAATTTACAAACTCTTATTGTTTTCGGTATGAAAATGGGAGATCTGATAAGTAGTGAGTGAGCTAAGGTTTCCTGTAAAATCCTGTTTATGACATTAAGCCATTAGTGCCTGTACTTCTATTTCAAAAAACCAAAAAAGAGAAGAGAAAAGTAATGAGTGAATATAGGGAGCTAGAGTCTAACTTATTATAATTGCATATAGAAGACAAAGGAATAATGATAATAATTGCAAACTATATATACTGATTTGTTTGTCTAAATATAATCTAGTTAGCGCTAATATTGTACAATAAATGCATTTCTATTTTGATTCTCAACTTTACCCCTTAAGCATGTGTGTATGGATCATACAGCTTGTTACAAATATACTGTAATCAAGGACTTTGGAGAGCTTTAATTAAAATCATCTGCTAATTGACAATTGGAATTAACGTAATTGGTAGCATGACAACTTGATTGAAGCTTCTTTTAGATAAAATGATAATTTATTTCAATGTGTTTGGTAATTTCACGGAATATTGGGTTTGTAGTTAAATGCATTGCAGCCTGATTATCGCAAATCAAATTCATTCTGTAACATTTCCATATTTCAATTCTTGAAGAAGCTACTTTAATCAAATAAGCTCACATGTTGCTGAGGGCACCATGGCATAATATTATGTTTCAGCACTAGATTTTGCAAAATTTTGCGTCTTGCTCTTCCCAGATTAAGTTTCCACCAATAAACGCACAATATCCTAAAGTAGAGTGTTGATTAATTGGACATCTGACCCAACTTACATCGCTATGCCCAACGATTTGAGTATCGTCCTAGGTATCATCCTTATCCTTATATAACAGTCATCAACCTAGAGACTCCTTAATGTATCTAAGAATGTGAATTGTAGCTTCCTAGTGGTTGACACATGAAAATTTCAAGATTTTACTTATCATTGTCACGAGGAAAGAGATATTAGGACAAGTGAGAGTGAGATAGTTGAAGGCTATAATCACAGACTCAATTATGACCACTTTGCCATGATAAGTATTGAGGACATTTTTTAGGAACATTACATCCTTGCCACAGTTAGAAACACCAAAACTAAAGCACCCAAAATGATCTGCATGGAAGTCACGTTGTTTAAAGGAGACTCGTTGATGAGATCCTATGCAGTGTCCTAGGTGGCATGTCATGTCATCAAGATATTCAATGCCAAGTCATTTAAGTAGAGAAAAACTCAAGGAAAGAAACCCATATCTAAGATTTTATAATGTGTGTTTGAAGCCCAATTTACCATATTGGAGGCCCAATACACACATATACTTGGAGGAGGTAAATTAGGCTATAATTTTGCATAGTTGAGCCCAAATGAATGTTGCAATGGCCCATAGAAGTTTAAACACGTCATTTGGACAGTCCAGAAGAGTCTTACAAGGCCCAAGTCAATGACAGAAAAGTATCAGCAAGGGTGAGACTTAAGTGATATGGGAGATTCTTAAATGAAGACACATGGCATGATGTGAAGAGTCCTAGATTAATTAGTATTCATTCATTTATTTCAATTATATTTTACATCCATTTGAGTGTTGGTTATTATTTTTCTATTTTTCTTGTATTTTTGTAGGTATTTATTATTATATGTATATTATTTTAAGATTGTCTTTCAATAGGAGAGAGATCCAATTACTCATTAATGGGCTTTGGACTTAAGTGAAACAATTAGGGTTCTTCTAGCTGTGTTTTATAGAGTCAAGTTTTCTTTTCCTACTAACAAATGTTGGTCCAACTGATAAAGAATTAGCTTATAATCCATAAGATTGCGAGATCGAATCCCTGCTGCCAATATGAGGACTTTGTTTGTGAGTAATCTATAAGTATCTCTATAAGTGATTTTTGAGCTTAGAGACATGTCTTGATTTTGGTAAGCCTTCAAGATTCAACTCACTTAAACTTTTTTATGTATAAAAAAAATTTTTGACACAGGTATCCTTTTATTCGTTGGAGAATACATTTTGGTAGCAAGAGTTTGATTGTCTCCCATGCTCCAAATAGTTGGAGTTTTTGGAAATAGGTTTCCATTGGGTTCCAAGTTCATATACTTGGTGTTTTTTGGAACGGGTTTTCTTTAAGTTTCAAGTTTTAGATCACTTATCTCCTTTTGAATGATCCTTATTTTAAGCTATCTTTCTTTGTTAGTCAATTCATAATTTCTGAGTTTCTTGGACAGGTTCCTATTAGGTCCATGTCATTTGTACTAGATGAGCAAGACCATTATCCAGTGTAGTAAGAGGAGAACCACCCAAAATTCGATCTTGAAGATGACTAAGAACATATCTAAGGTTATATAAAGTTAAGACCATGAAAATCTTGTCCTATGTATACTCTTTATCCTGGTCTTCAATTGTGGCAAGCATTAGAGATCAAAATTCTTGGCGCAATGGCTCAATGTGACTAACATACGTAGTATCGTCCAAGTCTTCTTGTTTCAAACTAACAAGAGAAGTAATCACATCATATATAATAGTGACGAATATCATTACTATGCAATGAAGTGGAAAATGGATAAGTACACCCCGAAATCAGATACAGGAGGTCATAGCGAGCATGATAGAGCAAATAGTGGCAAGAAACGTGTGAACAAGCAAGATGAAACTATGTTGAAAACTTTTCATTGAAAAAAAAATAGAGAAACTATATTGAAAACTTTGAGTGGCATGTGGCATCATATCGAACAATGGACAGCTGTTGGACTTCTAGGGTTGGTCGACTGACAATCATTAAGCATGGTGGTTGGGCACTTATCATACTTGAAGGCTCTAACAATGACAAATTTAAGGATAATGCCGTGGGAGTTAGATTTTTTCCTTTGCAAATGAGAGCAAAGGAGAGACCACTACAGATTTAGATCGTTAAATTGAATTTAATAACTTAGATTTGATGATTTTTGAAAATGCAGATTTAATTTAAACAGTTCAGATTTATAATAAAATGATAGGGGAGACAAAAGCAAAGGAGAAAAATCACCCCAATGCTGTTAGGGTTCGAGCAAAGAAGGAAGAGGGGTTGGAATGAAGCATAACTAATTAAAAAAAAAATCAAATTGGTGGCTCTAATACCATTTGAAAATGAGAGAGATTTGAGAAGCAATACGTGAATATACTAAGCTATTGCAATTAGTCTTATGAAATCTTACATGCAAGACAAAGGAATAACGAGTAATAATTACGAGAGATCCATATTGATATGCCTAATTATAATCGGTCAGCCCTAACGTCATCGATACATGTCCTTTTTTATGCTCAACATTGGCTAAATTACTCTCATGTCATGAGTTGTATGAAAATTATTTGGTATTTTTTATAACAAGCTTTGGCAACCCTCGTTATCTTGATCTGTTATATACGGTAGTGGCATGAAGAGTGATCTTGGTTCCTTTTTAATCCTCCTACACAGTGCTATATTATGAAATTGGTTCATTTATGGAGTGTAGTTTTGCATGTAGCAGAATGATGCTTTTGCAATGCTGATTTATTAATTTATTTTTTGGTTTATTGACATCATTGTCCTTCAAAAAATACATATTAGTCATGTTCGATAATTGTAATTTAATTCTAGAAATTTAAAGCTCTCTTTTTCAAACCTATTCCCTTATATATTCCCGTAGGCCATTAATCTACCTATCCCAACATGTTTATGATAATGGGGCCAAAAGCCAGACAGGAACTAAACAAATATTTCTCCAACACACTTACCACATGGCTAGAGTCAGATTCCACTACTAAATTGGAACCAGTGATGTGGCTTAACAGGGTAAAACCAGTAAAAACTCCCAAAAATTCAGCCACTTCAGCATTGCAACAGCCAATATTTCTACTAAAACCTCCCAACCAATTTCCTTCATGGTCTCTTAAGTTTATGGAGGAAACATACCTCATATGCTTGTACTTGTTGAATCTCTTTGTGGAAAGAGTTACGTACAGTTTGTGTGTGCTCACAGCAAATGTCACCCACAGAGACGGAGAGAGAAGTGAGGACACACTCATAATGACATGCACTAAGAAAACGGCTCTGACCATCATCATATAACCTTTCCGCGTGAAGCATAAGGAGGGCAACGTGTGTATATGGTTGATATATCCGTTCCCACCATTTTTCAAGTAGCAAGCAAAAATTACACTTTTTGTTTTTTAAAAGAGTAATGTTGCCCCTCCTTTAAATATCTATTAACTTGACAAATTTTTTTTTTTGCCAACATTTATTTGACTATTAGTTGATCCAAAAATTATAAATAATGACTTAGAAAATTGTAGAAAGTGACTCAACAAATTACATAAAAGGATCTTATAAGAAAATTATTACTAATTAAGTTCGTTAAATTATAAATAAATTTTAACAAACTAATGTTATTTCTTATTCATATAAAATATAAAAATAAACATATTTTTACCAATTATTTTGACTGACTACTGGATGATTATCAAATCATTAATGCTGGAAATATGGGTAAGTAATTAAAGAATATTACATTTATTTTAGAAAAATTATCATTAAAAATATGTAAATATTTTAATTTAATATTTAATAATTTAAATGTTACTTTTTTAAAAATATTCATTCAAAAATTTATAATTTATTTTTTTAACAATTCAACTAATTTTTTCTAAAATTTATACATAATTTGTAAATTAAAATAGCATGATAAATTATAAGTCTTTTTCCAAAATTAGCAAGTACTCCTTAAAAAAAATTATTTATCTTAAAAGCTGACTTGTAAATTGTGTGTGAA